AAATAAGCAACTAATTACTGCATTTTTCTTCCTTTTTATTTACTAAAAATGCCCTGCAGAAAGTGCAGGGTGAAGGAAGGGGGGGGGGGGGTATTTCCGAGACCCTAAATTCAAATATTTTCTGGGTAAGCATACCCCCAGACCCCTAGTTTGAGCCGCCTTTGGCTTTTCTTCCAGTGTGTACACCTTCAAACTCTCACGCTACGCTCCTGACACCAATTCAGTATTTCATGATGACATCATTTATTAACAACAACGGGAATGGAACCATCCGCCATTTTGAATTATTTAAATGTATTTGATTTTGCTTAAAATTTGTATAAATGGAGGTATTTTTTAGCAGAAAACTTATTCTGAGTATAAAATTAAGGATGATTAGGAAGCAAAATAATCTGCAAAATATGAAATTCCGAGAGAAATGAACACTGTTGAAAATTGAACTGACTATCTGCCATTCGGGTCACATTAAACTCATGTTTTCTTTTTTTGTTTTTGTTTTTGTCTTTTTTTTTTTGTCTCAAACTTGTCACTTAAAAGCCTGGATTTCACTGACAGTTATAATAAGTTTGATAAAATAATGCCAAATTGAGCGTAATATAATAATTCAATCACTAAAGATAGAAATAAAACCCACTTTTAGAGAAAATTCAAAATTTGAAAAACATGGCTTCGAAAAATCAGTTTCCATGGTAACATCAATATGGACGTACTCGTCACGACTACTTTAAATCGATCCCAGATAAATTGGTCCTAGCCTGAATTTCATCCGATTACTTCGAGTCGTTATTGCTCCCTCAGTAACGTCTGAATCGACCGGCCGTTAATGCCATCCAGTGACGTCACTACTTCTTGACCTTTCCTTTAACTCGTGCAAATGTAAAACACGATATTCAAGTGGCAAACCGAGAAATATCGTTTGGAAATGCCTGCATGATACAGAACTGCTTGATTTTTTTTTTATTGTAATTCATGTTTAACGTTTAAACTATCAATTGCATGCAGTACAACTCTGAACCGGTTGTACTAAATTCTATAATCAAACTCGGTCGCAATCACGCAAATTAAATAAACACACACACGAAACACTTAGTTCAAAAACACAATGATTTGCTGTAATTGAAAAGAAGCTATTTGGTCCTTAACGAAGAAAAAAAAAACAAGGAGACAAGAAAGAAAAGCAAACAGAATCATTACACTCGACAGTAAAAATAGCAAGAAGGTCGAATTATATCATTGGTCTCGGAAAACTTCGCGTAAACAAAATCACCGGCGGCCGAAACCACAAAGCGGCTTTTAGTTAAAAAACCTACCGACTCTCCGCAATGATTCTTCATTCGCAGTTCAATTTAGCATTTCAGTTTTGAAGACAAGGACAATTTTGCTTAATTTGGCAATTTTGTTTAAGATAAAGATTAAGCTTATCGAAATGTTTGAACTAAACGAAAGAATGCCGGGGATGCGATCCGCTGAATATTAAGCGACAATCCCGCTAAAATTTTTCATAATTAATATTTACCCGGTTTAAATTAATTAGCCGGTTTTCGGGTAGTGAGTGACGTCACTGGACGGCATTAACGGCCGGTCGATTCAGACGTTGTTGAGAGGAGTAAACGACTCGAATCAATCGGATGAATTTCAGGCTAAACTGGCCCTAGCTTGAACGGTTTTGGAGTTATTCTGCTTTTAGCGAGGAAGGGCCTCCCCCTCGCTGACAGCCACCCCCTGTCTGAATAGGTTTAACACGCATGCCATGGGGACTCCTATGTTAACATGTTAACTCTTCTACTCTGCAGACGTGCTTTTAGAACACGTTTTAAAAAGTGACCTTTACAGCCTCCTGGTTACCAAATTGGCCTACTAGCTAGCGTTTGATGAGGTCAAACTCTGACTCCTTGTGCAAGCGACCAACCTAACCTTAAAGGTCAAGGTGTTTTTGAAGCCCTCCGTCTGTTTCTCAACTAAAAACACAATCATCGATTTCACTAATTCCAGGAATCCCAATGTTTGAGTCAACCTGGCTCAATCGCTTTGGCATTTCTGCAACACTCGCTCCGCATCCCTTTACCCGACCGTCAATTTCCAACGCTCTCTTCAGTTTAGAAGCTATAAGAATGTCGGTCTTCAATGTCTCTGCTAAATAGTGTCTTTCGGCATCTGCTTTGTCATTGTCTTTCGATTCCACATATCTTTCCATGTTAAAGCTCGCTGGAGTCATAGCCGAGTACCTTTTGCCACTGTCGTTTCCCATGCTGAGAAGCCCAGTCAGAAGAAAAACTTCCGTGCTCAAATTTCATCTACTGAAAATGTCTTAATACGAGACGCCATCTTGGCTCCGGTCGCAAAACAGTGAATAGCCAAGGATATCCGAGTTACGGGAGCCAATCAAAACGCGCGAAAATTGCTATTCACTAATTTGCTAAATACTAATGTTAGTTGCACTAATGCTGATAGCCTTCCTTGCGTTGCGCACGCGGAATCTTTTGGGTCGTTCAAGGCTCTTTAAAATTTACTAACTAGTCGCGCGCTCAGCGCGCCTATCGCGTGGATTGCACAGCCAGGCGAAAACTCGAGTTGGAAATGTTTCTATATATCTCTTGGATGTCCGCAGTTGGCGTCATCCAGTATGACGTCAAGTTGCATTTCAGGGTTACCAGGGAACACGACTTCAAGTACGAATGATCGCAAATTTCATGCTGCACTATGATACTTTATTCATTCTGTCAAATGATGTCACTATCGGTGAATCGCAACCAGTTTCACAGGCAAATGAAAGAGAACAGCAAACACAAAAACGTTCTAATCAACAAGTGGCTGGAAATCCTCGCCGAGGGAGATTTACCACCGAAGGAAACTCCACTCCAGCGAGAAGAACGGTCCGTTCTTTTGACAGTTGTTGCGGCCGTTTGTGTGATCAAAAAATGCTTTTGTCGATAAGGTTCGACGATGGCAAAAGTATTTTTCAGAGAATATTGAAGCAATATGGGGCAGTAGCTTCAAATAAATAAATAAAGGACGAAAATTGAGATAAAAGAACATGTGTCACTGAGTCTCACTTAGCAGACGATCTTACGGCTTAGGTCGAGGGATATGTTTGTTCGTCGGAAGTGCCTTTCAGTTTGGCTTTTATCGTCAAAATCTTGCTTTGCGCAAGCCATGACACATCGCTCGGGCCGTTGAACCCGATGGTGAATGTTTTTTGTTTTTTTTTTTTTTCTGGAAATAATGCAAACAAGCTTCAAAATAGGCGATTAAGCTAATTTTTGATCAAATGTATTTTTAAATTCATGATAAATAAAGCTCCGCCAGCTTCTAACAGGGTATGTCAGGCAGAGTTTCACAGGAAAATGCTCAAATATAATAAACTATCGGTGAGGAAAACACGTTTGGTAACGTGGCGTAGTGGTCTAGGAATCTACCTTATGTGCTGATGGTCCGATGTTCGACTCTCGCTGAAGCAATTTTTATTAGTTACATTTTTTCCCTTTTGCTCTTTCTTCTGGCCCGTTATCAGCGTCGCGAGGTCACTGCGATAAACGTATTTCTAGTTATAGCCATATTTGTGTAGTTATAGGTAGATATAGTTCTATCCAGTCTTGCGGTGAAAACTCTGGCTTCTTATTGTAACGTTCTACGAAAAGGCGTCTCTTTCAAATGTTGATTACAGACAAACAATATTATTGCTTGATGAAGTATGTAGCAAGCGATTGTTAAATGTAACTTGCCCTTGCATGATAAATAAATTGATAGCTCGATGCCGAAACAATTACTGTCTTTCCTTTTATCTTCCCCGTAATCCCTTATCTAACT